TGCTCGAGCACAGGATGCTCTCCACTGCACACCTGTAGAAGGAGGTGAGGACTGAGCTTCCCAGACCAGCTTGCCTCAGCCGTCTGAGAGTAGAGTAGAGTCTCTGATGAGCTTTTTTGATCAGGCTGGTGGTGTTGTTGCTCCAGCTGAGGTTGTCATTCATGTGTACACCCAAGTACTTGTAGCTGGAGACCACTTCCACCGCAGCTCCTCTTATGTTCAGGGGGGTGTAGATGTTTTTGTTCCTTCTGAAGTCCACAATCATCTCCTTTGTCTTCTTCACATTGATGTGAAGGTTATTCTCTTTGCACCAGCTCTCCAGGTGTTCCACCTCTTGCCTGTAGCTGGACTCATCATTGTTTGTGATGCATCCCACCACCGCTGTATCATCTGCAAACTTTACAATATGACAGCCTGGATGGGTAGCTGCACAATCATACGTGAACAGAGTAAACAGGAGGGTGCTCAACACACATCCCTGAGGAGAGCCAGTGCTGAGGGTTATGGTGGAGGAGGAGAGGTTGTGGATCCTCACTAACTGTGATCTGTTTGTTAAAAAGTCTAGGACCCAGTTGTATATATAATTATATATATACAATCTTGCATTATTCTAAACAATGTTTCTAAACGCTCTAAAAGAGCACAGGATGTCATGAATTCAGCTCTCTGCCTCCTCTCGGCCACGCTCAAGCCCCCAGTATACTTCTGCGTACGTCCATATGCAGAGGTACGCACGTCCATACGCAGAGGTACGAGCGTACCTCCCTGGGCATGTACGTGAAAAGCTCAATTTTTACGACCGCGTACGCGGTGTCGCACAATAAACTGCCCGGCGACGAACTGTTTTGTATGCGACACCAATGAATTAAATTCCCCTTCTTTATCCCTGATCTGGCTTTTTCTTTTGTTTTTTTGCCAAGAGGCAGTGATCTCTTACTCCTCTGTTGATGCCATGACTGAAATGGTGAGAAATGAAGGAATTTGTCACAAGCAAATTAAACTCAGGTCCAGCATGACTGTGGGAGGGTCTGGAGATTTCCTGGTGGGCTGGTCTGATGTGTGGGCTGCAGAGCTAGTGCTCCCTGTTTTTTTTTTTTTTATATTTTTTAGATCTTTTTATTAACAACATATAAACACAGAACACCGCTGTGGCGGAGGCTGCCAGCGCTCATTTTTTTTTTCCCAACCAGTCAATCAATCCAATAGGCGTGTCAGCAAATGACCAATCGGCGACCTCAATTTGTCCCGAATGTAAACGCCCCTTGTCTGTGAAGCTGCTCTGCAGCTGCTTGGGGTGTACGCTGGAGTACGAAGTCTGAACCCTCTGTGTACAGTACACACGTACGTACACGTGAACGGACGCACACGGCAGTATACTGGAAGCTTCACTTCTCCACTGCAGAACAGATTGACAGAGGAGGAAGGACGAGCTGCAGGTGGAAGTTTCTCCTGCAGTGGGGGCTGCACCAGGGCTTAAGTTGAGCCGGATCCTGCCGGAACAAGATCCGTGAACTCTCTTATTTTGACAGGCTGTGTTCCGGTAACTTTTCCTCAGATCAGCAACTCAAATACCCGCCCCTAAACGTCCAAAGTCATGGCACATTTTTATTTTGATTATTTATTAAAAATACAATGAGAGGACTTGGTTCAAACCCCGGTCCAGGGGCCTTTCTGGGTGGAGTTTGCATGTTCTCTCCGTGCATGCGTGGGTTTCCTCCGGGTACTCCGGTTTCTTCCCACAGACCAAAAACATGCATGTTAGGCTGATTGGTAACTCTAAATTGTCCCTAGGTGTGAGTGACAGAGTGAATGGTTGTTTGTCTCGTATGTTTCTATGTGTCCCTGTGATGGACTTGCGACCTGTCCAGGTTGTACCCCACCCCTCGTACAGTGATTGCTGGACATGGGCACCAGCGACCCCCGTGGCCCAAAATGGAATAAGCGGGTAAAGATAATGGATGGATGGAAGGACAATGAGAGGAGACGTTGCCCTTAGCCTGGCGGAACAGTCTGTGGAGTGGATGTTCCAGCTGCAGCATGCGCTGCGCACCAGCTCGCTCACACGCTCCTTCTGAGGAGCAGGAGAGGAGCCTCTGGAGGAGGCGGGGAGGATGAGCACAGAGGGACAGATGGTCACATTCACGCAGGGAGGTTTCTTCTTTCCTCCTCCTCTCCAAATATTGTGGTGTGCATTGAAAATCACCCCCTCTCCCTTCCTTTCAGACCCCCTGAAACAGAAACAATCATTTATTTAACAGAATAAATAAATGACCTGCAGACAGTGCAAGTTATGCACAGTGTCTACAGATCTACAGAGTGCATGCACAACTGCTGATGTGTCTGAACTCCTGCTACTTGTCAGTCCTAATGAATAAAAAAAACTTACAGTTAAAAAATAAATAAATACACAGAGAAATGTTTGATGTGTTATTCACATTATACATCACGTTTCAAAACAACGGCGCTAATTTGATCAAAATGTCAAAAAGACAGTCCAGTTTACGTTAATAAAAAATGGATGGATTGTCCTTAGTTGGACAACCAAGAATTGAAGCCTTCAGGTGCTTCAAACGGTGCCACGAGACTGGAGCAGGAGAACTGAGTTCAGTGGAGAATAGCTCAGCTCAGAACCGTCAAGTGAGGGGAGGGAGGGAGGGGGGGTTAGGACACCTGACACAATCAGTGTTGCTCAGTTCACACACAACCTGCTGTTGCTCTCCAAAATAGTAAGTTTTTTGTGTTTACAAATGTAGGTAAATGTAGATGTTTGACAACCTGTTAAAATACACCAAAAATGCAGGCAATAGCATCTCTGTCATTCAAAATTTTCTATGGGAGGGTACCACATACCTCCCCCCCCCCCC